ATAAAACTTGGCGATGATGTGGTTTGGAAGGGACAGGAGAGACTTTCAGTTATTACAGGGGCTATTGACACTTTACGCCCGAAGAGGCGGCTCCTGCCAAAAGGAGCGACCCACGCCTAAGGGGGCGATTCCCGCCTTTTGGTCCAGCGGTGGTGGAGTCTCTGAAGCCTAAGCCCGAAGGAGCTTTTTTTTGAGGGGGGAGGGGGGGGGGCCATGGGAAGCTGTCAGTACCATGGACCCCTACCCCTGAACCAAGACGGCCTAAGGTCTGCCCCACCTATCGGACTCGATTTATTTATTACATGCATTTGCCATGTAATACCTGTACAGCAATTGAACATCGGTAATGCTAACCTGTACAACAAGCACATTTGCGAGAAGCATATACGGCTGCTATTATGACTGCGTCAACGCAGTTTTACCATTCTTTGCATAGCTGATGGATTCCCTCGCTTTCATGGAATCGCTACTCGAAACCTGCTCGTTGAATCTAGGAATGAAGCCCTCGGGAAAATATAGACAGATGGAGTGCTTGCAAGTGCTCACCTCTCCTCAACGCACGCCTTCTTCTGCTGCCCTCGTCTTCTTGGCTCCTTCCTGCCAGCGGCCGTCGTCTTTCTCCCAGGTCATGCGCCTGTATTGTCACGGTAAGAGCTGGTGCCGCCTCCTTCTCTCCACGCACAGCTCGTAGCCATGGCCTTGGAAAGGTCCGAAAGGTGAGAGGGGCATGCTCTCATGATCTCTCCCTCATTCAAGCCACCTCTATCCCGTCCATACATAAAAAGAAACCATACCCATACCAGTTCAGATACAAGCATTTTTCAACTTGAACATCGCCAGTCCACACATCATCTCCCGAGTCCTTCTTCGACTGGCAGTCCCCAAGTCATGTGTTATATGAGATGCGCAAGATGCTTCCTATGCACCGGGATCCTCACGTGGGCTGTCGACACTTGCCCGGAGGTCATAAAAGCCAAAGAAGGTGCCTCGCTGCGTCGATGGGGGATGGGAGCCTTTGATGCTGCATCTTATGTTCTGCGGCCCGGGTGCCCTGGCCTCGAAGAGGCTGGGGCATTCTTTGCCTTCTCGCATGCATGTCCTAGGTGCGAGAGGTTCCCTAATTTTCTGACTCCCTTTACTCTAGGTGCGTTCGTTCGGCGTCAAATCTCGCCAGGTCTCGGGTAACTTGAAGACAGAACTGACAGCGGACCATGCAGAGTACATGTTCGCTCGGTTCCTTGCGGATATCCCCTTCCACTATCCCGAGAACGAGCCTTATTGGGTACAATGGCACCACCGTCAGATGGCGAGTGCCACTAGGCGACATAATGGGCTGGCCATCGCCCAGGAGAAGTTGCAACAGATAACCATGGACCAGCTGAAGGAAGAGAAAGAACGAGAACAGGAGCAGCAAGAGGACAGAAAACGCCGTATTCAAGAACAATATGCAGCTCTAGCAGAGGGCCAGCGGAAACAGCTGCAGCGGCAACATCACGAGCGACTACTTGACGAGCAAGAGAGGCGACGATGGGCTCTGATCCAGCCACAGATACATATCCCAGGGCTAGCGGAACAGCTCGAGGAGATCCATGGCCCAGAGGTCTATGGCTCAGAGGGCCAGGGCCTTGGGCGCGAGGACTCTGAGGGTCAGGGCTCCGACGGCCAGACAACTTCCTCACGGGGTCGATCCCTAGAGCGCCGACCACCTTTCATACGGAGTCGATCCCCAAAGCGCCGGCTACTTTCCCCACGGGATCAGTCCCCGCATGACCAGTCCTCAAGACAGCCGGAGGTGGCACAGGACCAAGAAGATATCCAGATGTCAGACGCGCAGATCTTGGACGAACCAGGTTCACATGCCCGGATCCCAGACCTGCAGCTTGCAGAGGGTCAAGAACTACAGCCCCATCCGGTCTTCCAGCTTCCAGTTATACAACTCCCGCACGAACCAGCGCTACAACCTCAACAAAGGGCCCGACCTACCGAGGCACGGATCCCACAGGGACTATTGCAACGGCCCAGTCAGGTCGTAATCCAACCAGGCCCGGTCCTATGGCAGCTGGCACAGACTGGGCCGGGGGAATCCACGTCGCACCAGCCAGAGAATCAGGCGTCGCAGGATGACGATGGACGTGAACAGGATCAAGAAGGCCACACAGATGAACACGAACAGCGGCCGCCTCAAAACGAGAAGGCAGGGGGTCCTTCGAAGCAGGCTCAATCTCAAGAAGGGTCGGCAGGGTCAACAGAGGTAGTCATGGACGACTCAGCCCCAGCCCCGATTGAGGAACCGGCGGACTCTACCCAATAAAATAATGAAAAGCATCATGATACATAGATATCGTTAGCGAGCGGAGACTCACGATGGATGAAAGGTCGTTTAATGAGAACGAGTGGGTATAGTCCAAAAAGAAAGAAAGAAAGGGGGGATAACAGAGAAAACAAAGTCAATAGCAGACGAAGAATAGAGGTGAGGGTGAGGAAGAAGAAGAATAAGTTTCACGAGTTGGTGTTGTCTGCACCGAGGTATATATTTGTAGGAGGGACTGAGAAGAAGAAAAGAAACCCATGCTGTGATGGAAGACCTGGAAAAAAAAACAGAGCCACTTCCTTGATCCCAGAAACCTTGAAAAAGATGAAAAGCAGAACTCCAGGGGAACAGGGTGAAGTCCTTTTTTTTTTGTGGGGGAGGGGGAGGGAAATATCCAATATTCAGAAGTAAGGACAGATTGTGTAAGGGAGAAGAGGAGAACAGTATATAATAAAAACTGACAGCTAGAAAAAAAAGAAAGAAAAAAACTCCGACGCTACCCATTTTTTCCCTTTTTGGTATTTGACATTGTTGAATAATATGAAAAAAAAAGAGTCATTATGAACAAAGAAGAAGAAAGAGAAATGTCGTGGTAATATGAACAGCAGGATATGAGAAGAGGAATATATATATATATATATGTGTGTGTGTGTGTGTGTGTGTGGCTGGAAAATAAAAAGTAAAAAGGCAGGAGAGATGTTTAAGGCAGGGGGGGGTTGAGTTGAGTTGTCGCGTGTGTTTTGTTTAGTATGTGAAATCGACGTGTGCCATCATGGGCTGACTCTTGGTCTCATCGTCAGAAGGTGGACGACCACGATCCGATGCAGAATGATGGCTGCTGTTGTTGGCCGTCTCTGACGATGCCGAGTCGCCCAGGATGGTGTCGGCGCTCGTCTGGGAGACTGTCGACTGGAGTTCCTGCCGGTGATCTCCCGGTGGTGACGGATGTGACTGCGGTTGTGATTGCGGTTGCGACTGTGGCTGTGGCTGTGACTGTGACTGTGGTTGTGATTGTGATTGCGGTGGTGGCGGAGGTGGCGGAGGTGGTGTTTGATTCTGCAGCTGGAGCTGTGACTGCGACTGCGTCGACGATTGTGACGCCGGGGGGGGTTGCGAGCTCGGAGCCCAACCTTCGTTGAGGATCTGCTGGAAGCTCCAGCTGGGTTCAAAGTTCTTGCTGTCCCAGGCGCGGGGGACGCGCTCGTACATCTCGTCAATCTGCTCCAGGCTGAGCTTGCTCGTCTCGTAGACGAGACACCAGACGAAGAAGACGGCGAGGATGCAGAAGGCGCCCCAGATGAAGAAGATCTTGGAGCCGAAGTCGCCGTGGCCGGGGCCGCGACCCACCATCCACGGGCTGGCGTACGATATGCCAAAGTTGAAGAGCCAGTTGGACGTGGTCGACAGGGACATGGCCTTGGCGCGCACCTTGAGCGGGTAGATCTCCGACGTCACCACCCAGGCCACCGGCCCCCACGACGCGGCGAAGAAGAAGACGTTTATGCTGCAGAAGACGATGAGTATCACCTGCGCCGTGTCCTTGAGCTCCGGCCCCGTCGCCGCCGCAAAGGCCGCCATGACGAGCTGGCACACGGCCATGCCCAGGGCCCCGACCATCAGCAGCTTCCGCCTGCCCCACGACTCGATGACGAGCAGGCCCGGGAAGGTCGAGACGACGTTGATGGCGTTGACGATGAGCGACTTGGTGTACGGGCTCTGCACGCCCACCCCGCCGAAGAAGGTGGTGCTGTAGTACATGATGAAGTTGATGCCCGTCAGCTGCTGCAGCATCTGCACCGCGCACCCGGTAAAGGTCCGCCTGGCCAGGTGGGGCGAGCCTCGGAACAGGTCACGGTACGAGCTGGAGCCCAGCGTCAGCTCGTACTGGTGGTTGGCGATGATCTCCTGCAGCTCCTCCACCAGCGCCGGGTGGGTGATGTCCAGCCGCCGCAGCCGGCTGAGCGACAGCCCGGCCTGGCTGCTGCGGCCCTTCATGACGAGGAAGCGCGGCGTCTCGGGCAGGACGAGGATGCCGCCCGTCAGGATCAGCGCCGGCACGAACTGCAGGCCCAGCGGTATGCGGTACGCCGCCGGCCCGTCCAGGCCGGACGTGACGATGTTGATGACCGAGGCTGCCAGGAGCCCAAACGTGATGGAGAGTTGGTAGGCGCACACCAGCGTTCCCCGGATCCACGTGGGCGCCATCTCGGATTGGTATAGCGGTACGAGTACGGATATGGCGCCGACACCGACGCCTGCTAATAGTCTGTGACGGGTCAGTCCCGAGTTGGTGGCTTGGGAGCGGAGGGAAGGTTTGGATGGATCGTCGTCTCGCCATTCATTCTTACCTCCCCGTAAGCATCTGCGACATGGCCGACGCGCACACCTGGCATATGGCACCGATGCAAAAGACGCAGACCGAGATGAGAAAGGTGTATCGGCGACCGAGGTTGTCGGCGGACGGGGCGGCCAGGAGGGCACCGAAGATGGTGCCGATGCTGAGGATGCCGACGATGAGGGCCGAGTCGTTTGTGCAGATGTCCAGCTGTCCCTGGTGGTCGCGACATGCGGCGCCAAACTGATCCTTGAATTCGCGCATAGCTAGTATTCCGTTGATGGCACTGTATTTGAGGGGTCAGCATCTCGAACGATCCCTCTCGGTTGTGGCAGGTCTTCCACCCCCCCTCCTCTCTCTCCACACCTCAATCTGGGTAAATTTCTCTCTCGGTGGCGGCTCGATCTGCTGAGAGATTGATCTCTGCCTTCCCCTTCGGACGCCCCCCCCTCCTCTTGCTCCCATGTCCTCTTTTGACTGTCCAGTGATCTTTCCTCTTCGTTGCCTTCATTTCGGTGTTCGTTCTGTGTCGATCAAGTCGGCCAGGATGGTTGGGAATAAATCGATCGGGGTTCGGCGGTCGGGAGTTTTTTAGTTTTTTTGAGACATGAATCGCGGCAGGCGACAATGACGATATGGTGCCGGTATCGTGAGAGAGGGGAGGGGGGGGAGAAGACGAGAAAGAAGAATGGATCCGGAAAATAACACCGAAAAGGAGGAGAGAGAGGGGGAAAAAAACCAGAGGTATGCCTTACCCAGTGTCGTAGCCGAAAAGTAAACCGCCCGAGGCGACAAAGAGACCGACCATGATGCCAGGCGCCGACGAGCCTGCGACATTGTCGGGCTTGTGCCAGCCCATGGCAATAGCCATGGTGTCGAGGGTTGGACCGTCAATCCAGGGTTTGAAGGGTGGGAAAACGACGGTAGACCGACCCTCGAATGGGGGGACGGGGGATGTCTAGGGGGGCATAAAGGAAGTCGAGAGTTGAAGATTTTCTTCCGTGTCGTGTGTCGCGTGCGGTAGTCGGATGGGGAGTGGGGGGGGGG